AGGAGGGTGCCGTTGCAGGGTTTCAAGCATGCTGGCTTCAGTGCTGAACGTGAATCGAAAGGTCTTACTGCAGTGGTCCAGGAAGGGAATTCTGGTTGCCCAAACAGGGCAGTGTTGTGGGGATGAGAGAGAGATGGGTGGACACAAAAGACGGTTGCCAGGCAACATCAGTGGAACTTAGGGGCAGGACCCTTGGGGATATCTGCAACAGGGCGCAGGCATGACCGCAGTCAGTTTTCTAAAAGGTTGGTGAGAATGAACACTTAATAAAACGATATAAGAAGAAAAAGCTATCTTCGGCAAAATGTTACCTCCCCCTCCAGATCTCAGTCTGTGGATGGCCTCACTCCTCCCGGATGCTAAGGGACAGGGAAGACAATATGAGGATGCATCCTCTACTGTCATCCTCCCCAGTGGGGGCCATGGCCTTCCACAGGCCAGTCCACAGTCTATGTCTCATCCTCAGCTGTGGTCTTGGGAATGTTCTGCTGATTCATTCTGGCCCCATAGGCTTGGAAAGGTGTCTGCTTTGTCCAGCTCCTTTCAAGGCACCTAGCTGTCCTGGTAGTCATGGGCATGGAGCCAAACAGCAGTTCTCAACCTTGTCCTGCTGCACCACAAGTAAATGATATTCCACGGGCAGCCACGTGTCTCCATCGGAAATGGGAACGATGTGTGGACAATTCAGTGGTAGGTTACCTGCAATTCCTGGTGCACCTGCTACACACTGGGGCATGCTGGGACTGACCACCCTGGCGTGAGCAGGATGTTGAGATTGGCCACTGCAGCACAAGAAGCTGCTGTGGATGAATGCCTGCATAGCAGTCCGAAAATTCCCCAGACTGTCACTGTCCTTCCCTCTGCTTTACCTCTCCTCATTCTGTGGCTGTTATGCTTTTATCCAGGTGGCTCAATTTTTTAATTCCACCTATTGTCAAGCCCAGGATTACCTTATAGGTGTAGAGAGGATGTTGGCCAGGTATAAGACAAATCCAAATTGTTCTGCAGGTGTGAGGCGGACCTTGGCTAGATCTGGGGGATAACCTTGCCTCAAATGCAGGGGCCACCTCTCGGTCCTCCTTGCAGAGTCTTGATGAGGCTGTGTGTATTTGATGCTCACCTGTGACTATAAAACCTGTGGGCAGTGTAGCAGGATGGTGCCAGGGCATTACGAAGACATTGTACCTGGAAAGTGAAAGTTGGATCAAAGTTTCATTGCTTCATTTTTTTTAACCACATAAAGTAATCGTGCTGGGTTTTAAAAGGTAGAGCTGGGGGCCTCAGAGGTTAGTCAAGTCCTACTTTTGAACTTCCTAAAATCCGACGTCGCTCACCCTGCCCTGGCAGAGTGCCATCAGGAGAATCTAGGAGACTCGAGAAGCCACTTCACCTAACATCCTCATTGTGATCTAAGAATGCTCACCTGTGCTTCTCACACTCAACAATAGCTGTGTTAGATGTACAGGTAAAAAGGCTCATTTTCACCAGCCTCCAACCAAGGCATCTGCAGGGGCACTTCAGCATGCCACTACACCAGACAGCGTTGCTGCCCTTGGCTCGCGGTGGGCATGCAGGCCCAGAGATGCCAGACCCTCTGCAATTTCAGGAGTAGCCAAAAGTCTGGATCTTCATGCCAATACTTCTGATTTATTTTTATTTTATTTTATTTTTTTTTTGAGATAGAGTTTCGCTCTTGTCGCCCAGGCTGGAGAGCAATGGCGCAATCTCAGCTCACTGCAACCTCCGCTTCCTGGGTTCAAGCGATTCTCTTGCCTCAGCCTCCCGAGTAGCTGGGATTGCAGACATGCGCCACCATGCTCGGCTAATTTTGTATTTTTAGAAGAGATGGGGTTTCTCCATGTTGGTCAGGCTGGTCTCGAATTCCTGACCTCAGGCGATCCACCCGCCTCGGCCTCCCAAAGTGCTGGAATTACAGGCATAAACCACCACGCCCGGCCAATACTTCTGAATTTTTAAGGAGATAACTAAAACTTCAAAAATGTTTTTAAATTAAAAAACAATATGGCTGGGCACAGTGGCTCATGACTGTAATCCCAGCACTCTGGGAGGCCGAGGTACGTGGATCACTTGAGGTCAGGAGTTTGAGACCAGCCTGGCCACCATGGCGAAACCCCGTCTCTACTAAAAATACAAAAATTAGCTGGGCGTGGTGGCAGGCACCTGTAGTCCCAGCTACTCGGGAGTCTGAGGCACGAGAATCACCTGGACCCAGGATGCGGAGGTTGCAGTGAGCCGAGCTCACCCCACTGCATTCCAGCCTCCAGTCTGGGTGACAGAGTGAGACTCCATTTCAAAAAAAAAAAAAGAGAGAGAGAGAAACGATAACAAAGGCTACAATAAAAACTCAACATCACGTGACTAAACACTATCAGAGCCAAACTACATAGGTCTGTGGGTCACGGCCATGGCCCACCAGCTCTGGGGCTCCTCAGTTCTAAGATTCTGCTCTCCAGCTCCCTCCCACTGATCATCAGTGTGGTGACTCGTGCCATGGGTGACAGTCATGTCTACTTTTGGAACATTACTTCCCCTATCTGCAAGAGGCAAGTCACCCCTACCTTCTCCCCAGCTAAACATGTCCCTGGGACTTTCTCCAGTGAACTAGCCCAGGCCCTGGCCCCCTTGTACCTTGGAGATGGAGGCTGGGCAGTAAGAAAGACGCTGGGCAGGGTGCAGTAGCTCAACCTATAATCCCAGCACTTTGGGAGGCAGAAGCGGGCGGATTATCTGAGGTCAGGCATTCAAGACCAGCATGGCCAACATGGTGAAACCCCTTATCTACTAAAAAATACAAAAATTAGCTAGGTGTGGTGGTACATGCCTGTAATTTCAGCTACTCAGGAGGCTGAGGCAGGAGAACTGCTTGAGCCTGGGAGGCAGAGGTTGCTGCGAGCTGAGATCATGCCACTGCACTTCAGGCTGGCCGACAGAGCGTGACTCTGTCTCAGAGAAAAAAAAAAAGATGCTGTATTCCTCTTTTCTCCGCTGCTTTCCTCTCCTGAGTTTTTCTCTGCAGGCCACACTGCTTTTAGAAGCCTTTCCCTTCATCTACCACCCCCTGAACATCACTGGCAGCAGGCCAGCACTCTCTCAGCTGTCTGGGTAAGACTCAGCTCTCTGGGCTGAGTCTGAGCTCATCTGCCAGCCTAGCGATCTTGCCAAGAGAGGAAGGAACTGGATCTGATGTGATCCGAACTTCGTCACCATACCGTCACAGCTGGTGACCTAAGCTTCCTCCAAGTCAAGGGGTGGTGCAGCTCCACTGAAGCCTCCTCTTCTCACCTCCAGGCTCTGCCCACCTCAGGAGAGCACATGGTCCTGACCACAGCACCTGAAGGAAGACCTGGGGTGGAGAGCTCTGTTTTCTCACCATCCTCTCGGCCTGGCTTCTCTAACATGTTAAAAACTTACGGTGGCTCACGCCTGTAATCCCAGGACTTTGGGAGGCCAAAGTGGGTGGATCACGAGGTCAGGGATTAGAAACCAGCCTGACCAATGTGGTGTGAAATCCCATCTCTATTGAAAATACAAAAATTAGCCGGGCATGATGGCGTGCACTTGTAATCCCAGTTACTCAGGAGGCTGAGGCAGGAGAATCGCTTGAACTCGGGAAGCAGGGGTTGCAGTGAGCCAAGATTGTGCCACTGCACTGCAGCCTGGGCAACAGAGCAAGACTTTGTCTCAAAACAAACAAACAACAACAAAAAAACCCTCACTTTTTTGCTAGTACCTATAGCGCTTTTTTTTTTTTTTGCTGGTATCTATAGCTTTTGTGAGACTCAGTTTATTTAGCTTTTAGCCTTCCTGATATTATTCGTACGAATTTTGCCTTGGGACACTCTTTCTATTCATTGATTCAGCCAATACTTATTGAGCACCTACTGTTTGCCAAGTACTGGGCAGCCATTGAGAATAAAACAGTGAAAAGTTAGAAAACGTCTCTGATCTGATGGAGGGCCTATTCTACTGGTGGTAACTGAACAAGCAGTATGTGCTCTGAAGACATTAAAACAAGACAATGTGATGGAGGACGCTGAGAATCCAGTGGGCAACTACTTAGATGGGAAATTCAGGGACGGTCCCTACAAAGGAGACATATCTGCTGAAACCTCAATAAAGAGAAGCAGCCAGCCATGCAAGGATCTGGAGGGGAGCAGTTATGGCAGAGGGGTCAGCAAAGACAAAGGTCCTGAGGCAGGGAGGAGCTTAGCATGGGAGGGAAACCTGGGAGGCCAGCTGGCTGGACTTGAGTGAACATGGGGCTGAGATGAGGTCAGAGGAGAGCAAAGGTCAGATCCCCTGGGCTTCTAGGTCAGGGAGGGGCTGGTTCTTAGGAGTGCTGAGGCTGACTCTGATTTAGTCTGAGGTCAGTGTCCCTCTCAATCCCGATTCACTTGTGGTGCTCTATGGCCCGCAGGCTTGTGAAAAGTGTCCCCACTTCCTTCCTTACAGCAGCCTCTGCGCAATCCGAATTGCACTGTGAATTTCCCCGCCACTCAGGAGCCTGGGCAGGGCTTCACCCCTAGTTCAGTCACCAGGAACCAGTCTTTCTCCACCTTCCTGCCCTAGCCCCACTGGGTCTCAGTCTCTGCATCTGTGAAGTGACTGAGTGTGACCAAATGATGCAGGCAGCCTTTCCACTTCCTTCTACCCGTGGCGCCTTGGAGTTCGATTGGAAGAGGGTAAAGCAAAAGTGGGATCCTGGCGAGAAATGAAACTGAAAGAAAAAATTCCTCCTGGCTCTAGGGAGGCCAGCAGAGGGGGTCTGGGGTAGCAGGCAGAGGTAGAGGAGGAGGGAGGTTTTTAGAAAGCTGACAGGGCAGGAGCCCTGTGACCCAGGCTTTCACTTCTCCTGAACACCCCGTTGTGCCATGTGATGCAGGCAGGCGACTGCGGATAGGGCCAGTGAAAGGGGAAGTGAGGGGAGCCCAGAGTTTCTCAAGCTGAGCCTGGTGGGAGGGCTGCAGGGGACTGGGAGGGGAGTGGAGGCAGTGGGGGTGAGGGGAACAGGGAGGAGGTGGAGAAGACAGCAGGGGCAGCAGGGTAACTGGGGCAGAAGGAGCCCCCAACCCACCCCAGGGCAGGCCGGGAGTCATAAGGAGAGGGGACAACAGGAAGGGGCGACAAACGGGGAGGAGGAAACGGAGGCGGAGGGGCAGCGAAGTGGAGCAGGGAGGGTCGCAGTGTGAACAAGAGGAGAGGGAGGAAGGGTCAAGGTGGAGGGAGGAGAGGGGAGAGTCAGGGAGAAACAGCTGCAGGGGAGGCACGGGGAGGAAGGCTTAGGGGTAGGGGAAGGGAGAGGGGAGTTGAAAATTAGGGAGGAGGTAGTAGGGTCTGGGTAGTGAGCGGAGGAACAGGAAGGGTAGGGCAAGAAAGGGAGAGGGGACAGGAGGGAAGGGTGGGCCAAAGCGGTGAGAAAGGAGGGCCAGCCAGTTGGGTGGGGGAGAGGGCCGAGGCCCGGGGGCAGGAGTGCAGGGCTCTGAGGCGGGGAGAGGAGAGCCGAGGGGGGCCCAGCCCGGAGCCAGGATGCCCGCGCCGCGCACCCGGGAGCAGCCCCGCGTGCCCGGGGAGCGCCGGCCGCTGCTGCCTCGCGGCGTGCAGGGCCCTCGACGGTGGCGGCGGGCGGCGGGCGCGGCGGTGCTGCTAGTGGAGATGCTGGAGCGCGCCGCCTTCTTCGGCATCACTGCCAACCTCGTGCTCTACCTAAACAGCACCAACTTCAACTGGGCGGGCGAGCAGGCGTCGCGCGCCGCGCTGGTATTCCTGGGCGCCTCCTACCTGTTGGCGCCCGTGGGCGGCTGGCTGGCCGACGTGTACCTGGGCCGCTACCGCGCGGTCGCGCTCAGCCTGCTGCTCTACCTGGCCGCCTCGGGCCTGCTGCCCGCCACCGCCTTCCCCGACGGCCGCAGCTCCTTCTGCGGAGAGATGCCCGCGTCGCCGCTGGGACCCGCCTGCCCCTCGCCCGACTGCCCGCGAGCCTCGCCCAGCCCCTACTGCGCGCCCGTCCTCTACGCGGGGCTGCTGCTCATCGCCCTGGCCGCCAGCTCCGTCCGGAGCAACCTCACCTCCTTCGGTGCCGACCAGGTGAGTGGCAGGAGGCCTGCCCCGGCCGATTCCGGCGGGTGTGGAGGGAAGGAGGGCTGACCCCCAGCGTGACCTGGGACAAACCACGTCCCCTGCCTGCGCCTAGTTTCCTGATTTGAAAGAAGAGGGGTGCTAGCCCTTGCAGAACCGATGGCAACCGCAGTGGGAATAACCATGGTTATTTTTGTTTGTTGGTTGGTTTTATTTTTTGAGACGGAGTTTCACTCTGTCGCCCAGGCTGCAGTGCAATGGCGCGATCTCAGCTCACTGCAACCTCAGCCTCCCGGGTTCAAGCGATTCTCCCTCCTTAGCCTCCAAAGTAGCTGGGATTACAGGGGCCTGCCACCAGGCCCAGCTAATTTTTTTTTTTTTTTAAGTAGAGATGGAGTTTCACCATGTTGGTCTCGAACTCCTGACCTCAGATGATCCACCTGCCTCCGCCTCCCAAAGTGCTGGGATTACAGGCATGAGCCACCACGCTGGAAGGGTTGGTCTTCTTTGAGCTACTTGTAGGCCCTATGCTAAGCACTTTCACTGTTTAACTGATTTAATACTCTTCACCACCCAGGAGGTAGGAAGTATTATGCCCATTTTACAGAGAAAGACACTGAGAGGTTTCATGGCATTAATTAACTCGTCCAAGGTGACATGGAGGGTCAAGCAGTCGAGTAAGGGCAGCTGGACTCCAGGTCCCACCATGAGCCTCCTCTGTGTGTTATGGGGATGTGCAGGCAGGGCAGGATCGAGCCAGCCTCTTGCTACCAGCAGTGCTGGAGGTTGTCAGGCCGACTTGCTCAGATCCCAGCTCTGCCCGTCACTAGCTGAAGGCGCATGGGCAAGAACTTATTTATATCCCGAATGGGCTGCCTGGTCTTCTCCCTTAGCTCAACCACTGAGCCTTTCTCCATTCCCCCTTGGACAGAGCATGGCACGTAGAAGAAATTTAATAATTATTTGCTAAATGAATGAGTAAATGCCCAACAACACAGCTATATTTTGATAGCTGTTCCCAGTGTGATATCAGACAATACGTTAGACTAAAATGTAATATTATTTAAAAAACTACATATGGTGTATATGAGCAAAAGCCAGATGCAGGACTGCATACAGATAGGACTGCAGCCATGTGGAAAGACGAGATGTCAATGAAAGGAAACGGGAGAAACATTGTCACAGTAGTATGATCAGGCCACTGGACTCATTGCACTTTCTTCTTAATTGTCTCAGTTTTTCAAATGTTCTTTGATTGCATATATTATACTCATAAAGGGGACATTTTTCAAAAGGATCATTTCATCCAGTTGGCACCCACAATTCAGCACCTAAGCAGTTTCCAGTGTCCTTGGCAAGGAGTCACTTGTCCAGCTTGTTTAGGATCCTTTGATGATGACTTCGTGCCCCCAGGACAACCCTGGCCATTTCTTTTTCTTTCTATCTTTTTTTTTTGAGATGGAGTCTCGCTCTGTTGCCCAGGCTGGAGTGCAGTGGTGCGACCTCAGCTCACTGCAACCTCTGCCTCCCGGGTTCAAGCAATTCTTCCTGCCTCAGTCTCCCAAGTAGCTGGGATTGTAGATGCCCACCACCACGCTGGCTAATTTTGGTATTTTTTTAGTAGAGATGTGGTTTTGCCATGTTGGCCAGGCTGGTCTTGACTCCTGACCTCAGGTGATCCACCTGCCTCAGCCTCTCAAAGTGCTGAGATTACAGGCGTGAGCCACTGCGACCGGCCAACCCTGGCCATTTCTTACTTGTTGTTGACATTCCTTCAGACTTAGAGACCCCCAATATTTGTCAGTGGGAATCTCTCATCTTCCTTTAATCCTGTTATTTCGTTGATATCCCACTAGCACCCCCAACCCAGTACCCTTAACCTGTGTCCTTGACCCTGTTGACCTCCAGAGAGCCTCACCCATCCAGTACCTCCTGTGGCAGAATTGATCTTCTGGAGGCCAGGCCACTGAGCAGAGCCTCCCGTGGCACCAATAGTGATAGAAGCTCCTGTACATTCTCCCCTTGGCTGGGCATGAACTTTGGGTGGAGCAAAGGCAGGCCACAAGGCTGCCTCATGAAGTCGGGACCTGATCCCTAGGACAGTGCAGAAACACCGAAATGGTTTGAGGCAGGAATGCACATCACTGGATTTGAGGTCTTCAAAAATGACTCTGGCTGCAGTGTAGACAGCGTATGGGTTAACAAGAGCGGGTACTTCACAACAGGCAGGAAGCTGCTGCAGAATTCAGGGGGGCAGTCAGACGGGGGATGTGGGGGTGGGTGGGACTGGCACCATCTGGCAATAGCTATACCCCAGGAGCTGCGTGTTTCACACACTTGCTGATTTCAGAAAGGGCAATCCATCACTCTTGACAAAGTGTCTGCTCATTCTAAAAGAACTCATTTATATCCTGAATGGGCTTCCTGGTCTTCCTCCTTTGAGTTACAATAGTCATATTCATTTACTTCCAATTAATAAATGGAAGCGGCTGCTTCTAATGGGACCTATTCAATTTTCTACTTGAAAGTCTAGAGCGAGAATTATCAGGGAGCTGGCATGCCCCTCCCTCCCCATTGCCAAGAGGACCCCCAGAATCTCCAATGGAATGTGGTTTTAAGTGCATCCATGTGGACTATAATTTCACTTTTGAAAAAGGAAAAATAAATACTTATATTTTCCTCAGTGCAACTACAGAAAGTAAAGTTTGACAAAATCTCCCCAGCTAGTGGAAATTTAAATCTCTAGGTGAAAGGCAGTAACGGATCCTGAGATTTGCAGGGATATCAAAAGGGTGACTAGTTTAGCAATGTAGAGAAGCATTTATTCTCTCCATTGAAACGGCCCCTAGTCCTCACTGCTTTTTTTAAAAATGCAGATACCCAGGTCCTGTCCCAGACCTGCTGAGTCAGAATCTGGGACCTGGGTCTAGGAGATTTGGGAGCAGCCAGTGCAGCTAACTGGAGCCAACAGACCAGAAGGGGCCTGGGGCCTGGCTGTTGCTGATTGATCCAAATCCTGGGTAAAGATTTCCAGCCCATCTACCCTTGCTGGGAGGCCTGAAAAAAAAAATGCTTTTTTCACCAGGCCAGAACTCACTCTTGGGGCTGTGCCTGGGACCACCTCTGCCGCATATCAGAGGGACAAAAATTGGGTGAAAGGATGAGTCACAATAGGTTTCTCTGCTTGCCTCTCTGAATTGCAGAGGAAATTCTCACTCAGACTTCTGCTCTTCCAATAATATGCATACAACATTTTTAATAATGTGCAACAAAACTGAGATCTTTATTGGCTTTTTTCTGATTACAGAAGTAATGAATAGTGTAGGTTGCTCAGTCAAAGACAAAGGGATAAATCAACCAGAAATGAACAAGTGGCATCCGAGACATCTGTTGTATGTGTTCCTCTGCAACAATAAAAAAGCAATGTGTGTCATGGGTATGCGAAAGCAGCTGGGCCAAATGTCCTGATCTTTAGCAAGTGACTCCCAAGAGGATTCATTCATTCATTCAGCAAATATTTACTGAGTATCTGTTTAGTGATCAGAGACTAGGAAAGTGTCAGAACGCCCACCACCCACTGACCCCAAGAAGTGTCTCTGTACGAGGGAGGGGTAGGGTACAGAGAGTGCCCCGAACCCCTTTGACCCTCACTCTCAACCCTTCCTGAATGGCAGGTGATGGATCTCGGCCGCGACGCCACCCGCCGCTTCTTCAACTGGTTTTACTGGAGCATCAACCTGGGTGCTGTGCTGTCGCTGCTGGTGGTGGCTTTTATTCAGCAGAACATCAGTTTCCTGCTGGGCTACAGCATCCCTGTGGGCTGTGTGGGCCTGGCATTTTTTATCTTCCTCTTTGCCACCCCTGTCTTCATCACCAAGCCCCCCATGGGCAGCCAAGTGTCCTCTATGCTTAAGCTCGCTCTCCAAAACTGCTGCCCCCAGCTGTGGCAACGACACTTGGCCAGGTAAGGAGGGGCTCTGGGTGCCAGGAGCCTCCAAGCTTGGAGAAGCGCTGGACTGCTTCTGGGGAGGGATGGTCTGGATTGCAGATGTTCTGGTTCGGCTACAGTGATAGCTTTTTACGATGATCTGCTCTCCAGTGGGCCAGAGCTGCCCACTGTGACTGAGGACGGAGGTCAAGGTAGTGGTGGTGGTGGTGGTGGTATTATTGGTGGCCATCTATGTATAGAATGTGTGAGGATGGGGCTGGGGGCAGTGGCTATCTCTCTAAGCACTTTGGGAGGCTGAAGCTGGTGGCTCTCTTGAGCCTGGGAATTTGAGGCCAGCCTGGGCAACATGGTGAAACTCATCTCTACAAAAAAATTACAAAAATGAGTGGGGTGTGGTGGCGTGTGCCTGTGGTCTCAGCTACTCGGGAGGCTGACGTAGAAGGATCAATCGAGTCCAGGAGGTTGAGGCTGGAGTGAGCCATGATGGTGCCACTGCACTCCAACCTGGGTGACAGAACAGGAAAAAAAAAAAAGAAAGAAAGAAAGAAGAAAGAAAAGGAAGTGTGAGGATGATCGGTGTCTTGATAGTGAAGATGGTAGTAAGGATAAGGATGATGGCATTGGTATCTACACTGAAGACACAAACATTGGCAATGGGGATGACAATGGCATTAAAGGAGGGGATGAGGGATGATGGTTCCAGTGAAGGCTGTTGGGATATAATGTGAATAATTCCACATTACCCTATTACTAACCATCACAGCATCTTAGGAAATCGACCAAACTCGCTCCCTCCCCATTAGCTGACATCCAAGGGAGGAAGGTTCTGAATGACCTTAGGTCCCATGGCTTCCTTTTGCTCCTCGCCTTCCTGAATTAACTGTCTACTTATGCTAAGCAAATCTGTCTCCAGACCTTGCAACCAGTTACAGCTCCTGTCAACAGGATCTAGATGCAAAAGGTGAAGAACATGCTTTCCCCAATCTGGCATATTGCTAGAGGTTTGTAAGTTGTCGGGAGCCAAGAAGTGTGGTGGTTTTCATTATCTATCACTGCCTAACAAACCACACCAGATCTTACTGATTTAAATGACCTTGTTATCTCCTCTCCCAGTTCTGAGTGACTGGGCTCAGTAGGGCAGTTCTGTTTCTCATGATGGCACTGGGGTTGCAGTCATTTGGGACCTGGAAAGGGCTGGAACATCTGAGTCTGCTCACTTACATGGCTGGCGGTCAATGTGGGCTATTGGCTGGGAACTCAGCTGGGACTATGTGGACCAGAGCACCTTGGTTCCCCTTCGTGTGGTCTTACCGTGTGGCTTGAACTTCTCACAGCATCTTGTGAGGGTTGCAGGAGGAGGGAGCATTCCAAGAATGTAGAAGAGGGAAGAAAGCAGAAGTTACAGGTCTTCTTAAGGCCCTTAAGAGGCGCTGAAGTCCCAGACCACCACTTCTGCTTCATTCTAACAGGTCAAAGGCATCACAGGGCCAGCAGGGAAACAATGGCAGGAAAAGTAAACTCTGCCTGTTGGTGGCAAAATGGCAGCACACGCTGGGAAGGGTGGAGTTGACAGTGACTGTCTTTGAAGATGACCACACTAGTATTGTCCCTTTTGGAATCTCAAAGGACGATGCAAGGCTCTTGGACAAAAAGAGGTCAGAAAGCTCTCAGGACAAAGGGCAAAGGGTAAAGGTTGCAGCAGTGATTGATCAATCCTGTCGCCGACTGATGTTCCCTCTACCCCCACCTCTCCACTCTCTATGCCTTGTCGTGGAGGGAGAGGGTTGTAATGTTGACTGTTGAGGAGGATGGACTTGAGACAGCACGTGGGGGGAATTTTGGTGTATCAAATCTGTGATAGCATCTCTCGCTCTCAGTCAGGCTTGGACTGGGACTCCCCTGGTTCCTGTGGCAAATTGATGCTACAAGCCAAAAAATCCCTTCAGACTGTTTTCCACAGTCTCTGGTCTTACTTCCCTCAGGACCCAGAGGGGCCGCAGCTCTAGAGCGGAATGAGTCTTGGCTAGGCACGTTTGCAAAAAAAGAGAGGATAGAATAATATTGGCAGTGGTGGTGCCAACACTGAAAAAGAGTGATGGTGATGGGAATGGAAACTCTGTAGAGAGGATGATTCTGCTGACAGCAGCCACCTTACTAAAGGTGATGATAGGAAGGATGCTGGCCTTGGCGATGGTGGTGATGATGGCGAAGGTGGGGTGGAGGAGATGAGGGCACTGATTTCAGGGACATGCTGATACTGAGAGGAGGATTAAATTACAGGGTGATGGTGGGAGTGAAAACGGTGGCCGAGGTGGTGGGAAAGATTATGGCTGCTGTGTTTGTTTGTTTGCTTGTTTTTTGAGAGGGAGTCTAGCTCTGTTGCCCAGGCTGGAGTGCAGTGGCACAATCTTGGCTCACTGCAACGTCCGCCTCCCAGGTTCAAGCAACTCTCCTGTCTCAGCCTCCTGGGTTGGGACTACAGGTGCACACCAAAACAGCCCGGCTACTTTTTGTATTTTTAGCAGAGACAGGGTTTCACCATGTTGGCCAGACTGGTCTTGAACTCCTGACCTCAGGTGATCCACCCACCTTAGCCTCCCAAAGTGCTGGGATTACAGGCGTGAGCCACCAAGCCAAGCCTCGACTGCTGTTTTATCTGCTGTCCCTGAGGTCCCACAGAGACCGTCAAGGTGCCCGCCTGCTGCCTGACCAGAGGTCTCCCCAGCCTGGGGCTTCCCCACAAGAGGACATCACCAACTTCCAGGTGCTGGTGAAGATCTTGCCCGTCATGGTGACCCTGGTACCCTACTGGATGGTCTACTTTCAGGTGAGCACCCCTCCCCTTTTTCTCTGGGGGCCTGGCTCCCCACTCACCACCTGAATGGCTTCGGTTCTCATCATAGAGGCCCAGGGCATGTGGAAAGGGGGAAAGTCTGGGAATTAAGTGAGGTGCTGCCCCGTACCAGCCAGCATGGGGCCTGGCACAAAGCCATCTCAGCAATCCAACTCCCTCGCGTGGTGTGGTAAGAGGAACTCTGGAGACAGCTTCCTCCTGCTACACCACCTGCGGGAATTGAATTACTGGGATGGCTTTGTGCCAGGCTAGGTCCTTGAATAAGTCACCTCATCTCTCTGGGCCTGTTTCCTCACATGTACGACGGGTGGCTTAAACGAGAGGCTTTTCCAGCTCTGCCGCATTCAGATTGTCCGACTTGGTAGCTGAGGCCTAGAGAAGTTGTGTCAGTCACCCAAGGCCCCACGGCAGGCAGGTCAGGTCAAGCTCACAAAAGTGGGTACTTTGCAACGGTGGTTCCCCAACCTGGCTGTGCTTCAGAATCACCGGCAGAGCTTTTAAAAATATGCTGTGTTTTAAAAACAGATTCCAAGTCCGACCCTAGGCTATTGAATCAGAATTGCTGGGGAAGTATCTAGTTTAAGAAACTTTTCAGATGATACTGACACTCAGAGTTGAGAACTATTGCCTCCCACTCACCGTATTACTCCCAGTGGGGAGGTCAGTGGTGTGTGTGTGTGTGTGTGTGTGTGTGTGTGTGTGAGATTGTTAGGAGGGTGGGCAGCAGCTTAATGCTAGCCCCCAGGCCATAAGATCATTGCCTTTCATGTCCCATTCACAGGAACATTTGTTGGAGCTCCCAGCCTGCTACTTAGGGGCACACAGAGTATGTCTATGATGAGACAGCGGCTTGTGGTGGGAGGGTGTCCATGGCTGATTCTTAGTCATACCAATCGGATACTGACTTCTTTCCATACCAGTTGGTAAATGGCTGCTGCCCTGAGCAGCCCACATGCCCTCCCCTGCCCTGGCGCTTCCGGTGGGAGTCTCCTGGATCCTACTCCATTATGTAGCAACTAAAGGGGCAATGCCTAGTATGGGATGTGGCCCCTGGGCCCTGCTCCTGCAGCTGTGTCCAGAGCCATTCCGGCAAGTCCATGTCTATGCAGTGCTTGTGTCAACCTGTGGGACTCAGCTTGGTTTCAGTGTGAGATGAGAACTCCCTGCGGGGGCAGCCGTTACCTTTCCCATTTCAACAAACATTTATCCATGCTTACCCTGTGCTGGGCCCTGGGGACACAAATACGAGTCAGACCAGCTGTGCCTGGGCTCCGGGACAAGGCTGCACGCACTACCTACAGGCCTGAGAGCAGAGCGCAGGAAGCTCCCTGCTCAGCCCGGCTATGTAGGAGAAAGGAGGGTGGGAAGGTGACTATCTCCCTGAGACTGGGAGAGGGGACAGCTGCCCCGCTGCCCTGTGCTCTGGCTGAGAGCCAGAGCACTGGGAGCTGGGAGGGGGCACGGCCAGTTCTGTTCCAGGCTCATCCCCGTCTCTCTTGGCAGATGCAGTCCACCTACGTCCTGCAGGGTCTTCACCTCCACATCCCAAACATTTTCCCAGCCAGCCCGTCCAACAGCTCCATGGCCCTGAGAGCCCAGGACAGCAGCTATACGGTGAGAGATAAAGCATGTGTTCAGCACCCAGTTCAGGCCAGGTAGCAGCTTCCTCTGAGAAGAGGAGCAAATGAAACTGCCTTCACACTCCCCTTTCCTGGCTGCAAGGCAACCTTGGGTTACAGGAAAAGCACCTGGAGGGTGGGAGAACTTGTGTCACAGCGCAGCGATCCTGCCAAGACGCTCACCTGCTTGAAGGAATTCAGGCCGGCTGCATACCGCCATGCTGCCGCTCTGAAGCAGGCCTCGCTGCCGAATCTGCAGCCTCAGATTAAGCACACTCAGGTCCCTTTTCAACTCTTCCTTGTCTCCTGTTTCCCTGGGACCCTTAGATACCTAGATCTCTGCCTTTCCCAGAGCCTTCTAAACCAGTTCCTTGGCATTTCAGAGACTCAAGAAATGAATGATCTACAGAGCTAGCAGATAAATGAGAAATTTGCCATTGTACTCCATTTCCGTGCCTATGGCAGACATCACTAGTCAATCATGACTTTTTTTATGCTGAGCCCATAAATGTTCCGTAATCAGCCACTACCAACTGATAAAAGTTAGAATACAAGAGGAACCTATCTGCCATCTCTATATAATCCCACTCCCTGGCTACACAACTGAGGAATGTGAGTTCCAGAGCGGGGAAGGAGCGGGACCCCTGGGTCACTCAGGGCCAGTCTAGAGTCCAGGTCTCCTGACTGCAGCCAGGCTCCTTCCACGCTGCTAGCCTGCCTCTCTTGACTTCCTCCCGCCCAGATCCCGGAAGCCTGGCTCCTCCTGGCCAACGTCGTGGTGGTGCTGATTCTGGTCCCTCTGAAGGACCGCTTGATCGACCCTCTGCTGCTGCGGTGCAAGCTGCTTCCATCTGCTCTGCAGAAGATGGCTCTGGGGATGTTCTTTGGTTTTACCTCCGTCATTGTGGCAGGTGTGCAGAGCGGTGTGGGGCAGGGGGCTGAACTTTGGGCTTGGGGAAGTCTGGTTCCACCATGGGCTGATGCTGAAGTGGTAGCCTGGGCCAAGTTCAGCCTCTCCCAGTGGGCGTCCGTGTTGGCTTCCCGGAGGTGCAAGCTGAAAGAGACCCGCCTATCTAGTCCAGCTGCCCCTCATTTTGGCAGAAGAGGAAACTCAGGCCAAGAGAGGAACAAATACTTTCCCCAGTGAATTATAAGTTCCTTGAAGGCAGGGATTGTTATTCTTTTTTATTAACTGCTATGAACATGCATGTGGGCCCTCCATAAATGTGTTGAAGGAATTTTCCACTTAGTGGCAAAAGAAGACTTAAAAAGAAATTTCTCTTCCTTCTTCGTTTTAAAAGGATCTGGAGCCATTTGTTACAACGTGGGGGTTGAGGGTGGGGGTGGGAGGGGGCAGCTAAAGAAGTCTTTCACACTGTTGCGCAAACCTGAACCCTTTTTACTTGTAACTTTATAACCCTGAAGTTCCTTAGAGTCTCTGAGGGGGAACAGGTGAGTCTCTAAACTCACCTGTTTTAGAGACCAGGTCTCTAAAATGGGGACAGGTATCATCTGGGCCCTGAGCAGGGCTCTGCCCTCGTGGAACTCAGTCTGATGGGGGTTGCTGTGAGGATTAAAGGAGATGAAGTCTGTAAAGCACTCAGTAGTGTGCCTGGATCACAAGTGTGAGCTGGAGAAATGAAACCTCCATATAAATGGTATTGTGTTGAAAGTGTGAAAACCCAACTAGATTTTATTCCAGCTATATCCTTAAAGCAGTTTGTCCTATTTTATCCTCACAATAGTCCTGGGAATGTTATTCCTGCTTCTTGCATAAGGGAACTGAGTCTAGAGAGGTTAAGTGATTTGCCCAAGGTCACACAGCTAGCCAGGCTGGGAACCCAGGTCCCCCAACTCCATGTCCAGTGTTCATTCCACTAGAGCACAGCTATCTCCCCAGCAACGCGGGAGAAGGAGATAACATAATTAAATTTGAAAGCCAGGTTAGAAACACTACAGCAGTACTTGACGTTGCAGTAGAGAAGTCATGTGATATCATGGAAAGTAGGCCAGCTTTGAAACCAGACATACCAGAGCTCAAATCCAGCCCTGACTACTTATCAGCTGTGTGACTGTGGGCTGGTTGTTTACCTGTTGCACTTTTTTCACCAGCAAGGATGCATAGTAAATACCTAGCACATAACAGGTTCTCCATTAATGAGAGTTGTTAATGAGTGCAAAACTCAGCTCGGAGCTTCTAGCAGCCAACTCCAAAAGGGAAGAGCTGGTCACATCTTGGCCTCCTCCTCCACCCCGAGTCCAGGATTCTTTTCCTTGCCTGATGCTTAATCTTTGGCTACTTCATGAGCACCCCACCCCTGCCATGTACAAGCTCTGCTGTGGGCTAAGCTGCCTGGGGTGGGCCTGACTATAATCCCCCTCTGCTCCTCCACCAGGAGTCCTGGAGATGGAGCGCTTACACTACATCCACCACAACCAAACCGTGTCCCAGGAGATTGGGGAGGTCCTGTACAACGCGGCACCACTGTCCATCTGGTGGCAGATCCCTCAGTACCTGCTCATTGGGATCAGCGAGATTTTTGCCAGCATCCCAGGTATCCTGGATCCCCTCCCCTGCTCCTACACCAGTGATGGGCTCTGCCCAGTGGCACCTCAAAGTCAGGGGCCCCAGGGCTGCAGCCTCCAGGGCCCATCTGCACGGAGGAAGGCAGTGTTTTCTGACCAGGGCTCTGTCACTCAACTGGGATCTAGTATTGGCACCTGGTTCAAGTCAGCCACTGTGATAGGCACTGGGGATTTGGAGGCAAGCAAGGCACTTCCCACACCAGCTCTCCATGTATTCCCCTGGTGCCAGGTTCTCCATGCTCTGTGTCTTTGAAGTTGCTGTTCCCTCTACCTTAGATTGAAGGTGAACTCTGATTTCCCCTTCAATTCTGAGCCTAAATACCAAGGTCCTTGGGAGGAAGGGGCCCTCCCTTCCCGCCCCGTGTTCATCTCTCTATCATAGCACACAGTACTCTGGGTCATAATAATGGATTTCTATGTCCTTCGCTCCCCACCCTCCCAACCCCCTTCCCTGGGCTGGGAGCTAGAGCTGCAAGGCTGGGGCAGGCCCTTCAGGCAGCAAAAAAAAAAAAAAACCCAAGAGCTTCCTCAGCTGCGGGCCCAGGGCTAGGCTGGGTCAGATGTAATGAAAAAACTGACCCTGGGAGCTCACTCAGATGGGGAGAGAGTCAGGCAAACAGTGAGCCAGTGGAGTGCTGTGGAAGTCAGGGCAGAGTGTGGTGGGAGCCCTTAAGCATGGAGGGGAGGCAGGCAGGCGAGTGGGTAGGAGGAGGGGTCTTACAGGCTGAGGGAACAGCACAAGCAAAGACCCAAGCCTTTGGGAAGTGTGGGGGATAGGACTGGAGGGGCAAGGGAAGTGCAGTGGAAGTGTTGAATTTGTGGGCTGAGCCTGCACCTTGGGATTTCTCCTGACGGCAACAGTGCCCCTCCCCTCCAGGGGGTTTAGGCCGGGAAAGGACCCCATCCGAGATGCTTTAGACAGATGCTCCTGGCTGTGTGAGGAGGACAGGAGTCAGGGGAGTTTAAGAGGCATTTGCAGAAAGTGACCAGGACTGGGGTTGGACCCAGAGAAGAGGAAACAGAGAGAAGGACATACATTTAGAATAGATTTCAGAGGTTATATCAAAACGATTCGACGATGACATTGAAGGTGGGCAGAGATGGTGGGGAGAGAGAGGAAGTAAAGATGGTGCTGTCACTGAAATGAGCGACCTAGCAGGAAGGGGAGGAGGGGAGACAGAGCTCCTGGGGCAGCACATGGAGCACCCCGGTGCAGGGGTTCAGCCAGGAGGCAAGTGAGCAGGGCAGAGGGAAAGGTGGCATTGATGCATAGGTGCTGTCATTGCCACTGAGTGGACAGGCATCCAAGGGAAGCCTGGAGGGTGGCTTGGTGGGGGCAGCAGGCAGGGGCCTGAGCCTGTTCTCTGCACCTGCACCAGCCCCTGAGATCATCTCTGCTCCCTCTCCACAGGCCTGGAGTTTGCCTACTCAGAGGCCCCGCGCTCCATGCAAGGCGCCATCATGGGCATCTTCTTCTGCCTGTCGGGGGTGGGCTCACTGTTGGGCTCCAGCCTAGTGGCACTGCTGTCCTTGCCTGGGGGCTGGCTGCACTGCCCTGAGGACTTCGGTGAGCATGGGGCCTCCCCAGGAGTGGGACATGGGTGGAGGGAGGCTTGGAAAGGAGGTGGCAACTGCTAAGTGCTTTGACTCTGGGCAGAAGCAAGAAGAGGGCTAGACTTGGAGAATGGGGTTCTAGTCTGGGCTTGGCCAGTCACCCACAGCATGGCCTCCCTCCTTGGGCCTTTGTTTCCCCAACTGTTGAACTTAGTGGACCTCCAAGGCTCCTTACTGCTTCTGGAACCCTGCCATTTCTGGCTGAAAGGTTACCTTTCTCATGGCGTTTGTATTTCACACCCCCTTCTGAATAGCTAAAGAGGAATTGTAGATACCCCTGGAGACCTTCAGGAAGCCAGACATTAGCGGGTATCTGTCCAGTGTCTTCAGATCCCACCACTGCCCACATGGCCTCAGCTGCCAGCCCCAGGGCTGGGACATGGCAGGCACAGGGTGCAAGTCAGAGGATCCCTGTCCTGACCCAAATCTAACCCCTCCTTTCCCCAGGGAACATCAACAACTGCCGGATGGACCTCTACTTCTTCCTGCTGGCTGGCATTCAGGCTGTCACGGCTCTCCTATTTGTCTGGATCGCTGGACGCTATGAGAGGGTGTCCCAGGGCCCAGCCTCCCACAGCTGTTTCAGCAGGGACAGGGGCTGAACACACCGCATTCCAGCCCCTTTGCTTCACTCCACCAGACAGACAGCAGCAGTCCCGGCTCTGGTTTCCTTCTCGGTTTATTCTGTTAGAATGAAATGGTTCCCATAAATAACGGGCATGAGCCCTTCCTCATGACCATGGTCCATGACAAGGGGCAGGGCAGAGGGGGCCTGGGTGGGAGTCCTTGCGGGGGACCAGGCAGGGGACTTGGATCACCAAGCACCAGACGAGCGGCGGGGGGCAGGCGAGAGGCTCGGTGGGACCTCCACCGCTGTTGCCCCAGCTGGTGGCTGACCAGGTGGCTGTGGAGGGTCAGGAGCTGCCCCGGATCCTCTCCATGTAGTTGCGAAGCTCCTCAGGGTCCTTCAGCCCCATGTCCTCACACACCCAGCGGATGTCCTCCTCGCCTGCCACAAGGATGGACTGCACAGCAGGGGCCCCTACAGGCTCCTCAGGTGGCTGGGCTGGAGGGGCTGGCGCAAATGTCACGAACTCTACTCGCTTCCGCCGCCCCCCAGCCTCCTTTCGGGCCAGGGTGCTTGAGGAGCTGGTGGTGCCCCCAGGAGGGCCAGGGGCCAGAGTAGGGGCCTCCCCTCCTCCCCCACTCTCACAGGGGCAGCCCCCCTCCCCCTTGGGCAGGCCAGGGGACTGCCGGTCCAGCTGGCGGCTCAGTTCCTCCTGGTCAGTGCCCAGCCAGACCCAGTTGTGGGGCTGGGGGGAGGTGGGATCAGTGGCACTGTCGGGAGGCTCTTTGCGCTGATAGCGCAGGACGAAGACCACACCATTGACCAAGAAGACGAAGATGGCCACGCAGAAGATTCCCAGCAGGGCGTACATGCCCAGCTCTAGGTCGGTGACACGCTGAGGGGCAGGGACCATCTCCTCCTCCTCTTCCTCCTCCTCCTCCCTGGCTTTGGTGTCCTCCTTCCTGGCCTCCTCCTCTGCCCGCTCAAACTTGCCCCTCACACCTATGTTGTCCCCGACACTGCCTGCCGCCTGCCGTTCACCACCCATGGTGGCTTCTGGGGCTGGTGGGCTCCAAGCAGGGCTGGATGGGAGGGCAGGGGCTGGAGTGGAGGCAGGGGGCAGCCCCAGCCAGGCGGTGCCAGAGGCCAGAGGCACACGGTGGCGGCCCCGGCGGCAGGGCTCGGGCGGGTGCAGAGCCACATGCAGCGGCAGCCCTTCGGCGCCTGCCCCACTCACCACCACCCCGAGCTGGGCGCCCTGCTCCTCAGCTGGCAGGATGGCACCAGGCTCCTCGGCTGAGACGGACAGTCCCAGGTCACGGCGGTCGTAGAGCTCAGCCGGGGCCACAGTGTGATCAGAGAAGGACAGCCATAGGGAGAGGGCCACCTCCTGTGGGGCACACAGACACAGGCAGAGACACGCGAGGGCACGCACGCATGCACAGAGAAACCACTCCCACAGAGACAGGCCACATGGAAGAGAGACCAGAGAGAAAACAGAGACACAGGCAGATAGACAAAACACAGGGAGAGAGGGGACGCGTGTCAATCACCTGTCTGCCACTCAGTCCTAGGGTCTGAGTTATTGGGAGGGTCCTCAGTTAGAGCCATCTAACCAACCTCCCACCATCTCCAGCCACTGCTTGATCACCTCCAGCTGCAGAGAGCTCACTACCTCACAGAGTCAGTCCTCACTCTGAAAACCCTAAGGGGTCAAGCTGCCAGGTTCCCCTTCCTCCCATCCCCCTCTACCATGAGCCCCCATCTGGAGATGTTGACCTCATCCTCCTGACCCCCCAACTGTCACCTGCTTTGGGGCGGGAAGGGCTGACTGTGCCCAGCACGTGGCTGTGACCTCCCCGGGGTGGGCAGTGCCCCGGCTCAAGGTCAGCGAGATGCCCATCACTGGCTGCACCCTCAGCTCCAGCACTGAGACCTTGTCGTCCGTCACAGCCAGGGCCTGCTCCCCCAGGATGGAGTCAGACAGCGGGGAACGCACCTGAGGGTGGGAAGGAGCTGGAGGTGGGGGAGCCTTCCATACAGACAGCCCCCACCCAGAGGGAACTGGGTGCCCCCAACACCCTTACAGGCTGCTCTCCAGAGGTGGGGGGGTCTTTGCCATGGACAGCCCCCACCCAGAGGGAAAAAGGAGCTCCCAGCAGCCTCATTGGCTACTCTCCCTCTACTCTTTGCACCCCAGTGCATACTTGGACTCCAATCCCACACCTAGGGGACAGTTCCCTTTTCCCTCAAGACCTGGTCCCCACATTACCCACACCTCAGCCCTCCATAGCTAGAGGGCTTCCTCGCTTATGCGGCCACCCCATTCTGAACCCATCCCCAATCCCACTGCTCTCAGACCTAGACCTCACAACTCCCCCACACACTCTGGACTCCTGGCACACTCTTACTCCCACCAGCAGGCATTCTGGGGGCCCCTCCACCCTTCTCAGGGGGTCTGCTCTCCTGGTCCCCGGCTGCTTACCTCAATGGAGGTGACACCGGGCTCCCGGCCCACCAGGACGCGGCCGCCCTCCAGCGAGGCTACACGCGGGTCCAGCACGCGGGCATGTGGCGCCACAAGGTGGGACACGTCCAGCAGCCAGTTGGGGCCAAGCAGGTGCGTGAGGCGGCGGCCGCCGTCCAGCGGGTGGGCAGCGAAGGGGGCGAGGAAGCGCACACCGGCGCGCTGGTACTGCAGGTGGCAGCCACGGGCGCGCCGCTCAGTCTCATCTACCTCCTCTGCGGCGGGTTCCGCAGGCCTGCAGGGCGGGGAGGCCGGAACTGGCTGTCAGGGCTGCCTGGCCCCAGCCTGCCCAGGGCCCAGCTGCTGAAGATCCCCAGCTCCTCCCCAGCGGCTCCTAATCGCCAGCGGCTCCTGTTTCTCAAAAGCAGACATCCGCCCCTCTTGGGGTCAGGCCCTTCGACCCCCAGCCCACTCCGTAACAGCGCTGTGCCTCGATCACCGCTCTTGCTCCCAAGTGGACCCCAGGGGAGACACTCTCTTTCGGGGACCCTGGGGGCGCTCACTCTCTGAAGGGCCTGGAAGCTAGATTCCAGAGGCGTGGGCCACCTCGCCCTGGGTTTTGGGGAGCCCCCTCCAAGGGTGTTCATTTCGTGAGCTCTGTATCATCTTAGGCTCTGAGGGTATAGCAGTGACCAGCATAGACAGACCCCGGCTTCAAGGGGCTGACATTCTCGGGGGAGGAGCGTGGAAAGGATGGACAGGCAACATTAACCAGTACTGATGTAGATTAGGAAGTGGAGGGTGCTACGGGAGAAATGAGGCAGGGAAGGAGAGGGATGCGGACGTCAGCAATTTCACAGAAAGCTGTCATTGGTTGGGCGGTCCAGGGTGGAGGTGGGCAGAAAGAACTGCAAGCAACGCGGCAGTTTTTCAGACCCCGACTTGGGCCCGTGGCTGTGTCCCCTGCGCCCTCTCCGTCCCAGTGTGACTTGCCAAGGCCTGCCAGCTTCCTCAGGCCTCCACTCACCCTTCGGCAGAGCTAGGTACCCTCCAGCCGCGGACCTGCTCGAGGGTGGTGTCGGTGAGCTCGATGCGCAGTGGTAGCAGCGGGGCCCACACCGTCAGCCGCAGCGAGGCTCGGAGCCGGCGCCACCAGAAGTCCACCCGCACCCCCCGGGCGCCCCGGCTCTCCTTGCCAGCCACGAACACGGCATCACAGGCCTCAGACACCTGTGGAAGGGCAGAGGGCAGGCGGGCGGGCTAAGCCACTAAAGATAGGTGTGAGGTTGGGCCGGGTGGGTGGTTCATGCAGGTAGTCCCAGCACTCTGAGAGGCCGAGGTGGGTGGATTGCTTGAGTCCAGGAGTTTGAGGCCAGCCTGGGCAACATGGCAAAACCCCCTCTCTACAAAAAATACAATACATCAGCCAGGGGTGGTGGCATGTGCCTATAGTCCTAGCTACTGGGGAGGCTGAGGTGGGAGGATCCCTTGAGCCTGGGAAGCTGAGACTGCAATGAGCCGGACTGTATCATTGCATTCCAGTCTGGGGACAGAGTGAGACTCTGTCTCAAATAAATAAATAAATAGATTAAAAAAAAAAAAAAAAAAAAAGGCATGGGCCAGAAGAGAGCAGCCCGGACCTCAGGCCATAGGATGGGCTCCCACTGAGTTCGGCTCTGTGTCTCACGGGAATGCATGTTGCAGCAGGATTGTTGGTTAAGCCCCTGTTCTTCGTGTAAGATTTTACTGTAGGGGCCATTCCTTGAGTTTCCCTGGGGTTCAGTCAGGGGAACTGGCCATTGCATACCAGTCTGCCTCCTGGCAGAGCAGGGGTGTGAACCCAAAACTTTGGCTCCTTATTCGTACTGGCCTTTGACATTGCTCTTGGAGCCCCCTGGCAGCCAGCTACAGCCAGGTAGGCAGAGGTGGGGCAAAGCAGATCTCCCCACCAAGGCCCTCCAGCAGGAACCACACACATTTGAGCAAAGGGCGCCACAAGTGGGGAAAGGCACCTTCTCCCTTCAGGTGGCTGCGATTTGCATACATGCAGGCTCCATGCTTCCCCTCTTAGAACTTCAAGATAAGAAAGTTCCTCTACCCACCCCCCTTTTTTTTGCTTCACAATCACCAGAAATAATAATAATAATTTTTACCATTGTATAATTATTACATCATATTATAACAGCAATAGGTGCCATTGTTTCAGCCCCTGCTGTCTGCCGAATACTGTCTTAAGGTGCTTTTAATTCTTACAACAACCCAAAGATATGTTCCCATTTTAAAGTTTAGGGAACGAGGCTCAGAGAGGTTAGGAGATCAGCCCATGATCACACAGCTGGTTGACAACAAGGATGTGTTTCAAACTAAAACTTTCTGATCACAAAGTACGTGCTCTCAACTCTCAGGCCAGCTCACCTGCCCATGCAATAATGAGCATGAAAGTGTCTAAGGTTGGGGACTGTTAGGGTTACTTGGCTCCCACTTGATTTGGGAGAGAGGTGGCTGGAACAAAAGAAATTGAAGCTGTGGTTCCTCCCATGAGGTTTCTGGTCTCAAGAAGAAGCTGTTCTCTTGGGGACCCACATGAGGAAGGAGGAAAGGGGTGTGTGTGTAACTGTGCCCACACAAATGCAGACTCACATGAGCTGGGTACCTGCCACTCACCTGCAGGACCTGCGTGTTGGCCGACTCACAGCCGA